GAAAAAACATAGTTTTGCAATCTTGTCCGTATGTCTGCGTGTGTATCTGTATGCGTGTCTGTGTGTATGTCAGTAAACACGGTAACTTGAGTACAGTTACAGCTAGGTTAATGAATTTTTTTTTGCACAATTACAATACTTCCTGTATACTCCGTATAAGAGAAAGTAAAAATGTAAAGTATTAAAAAAAATTCATAAAAACGTTTAATTATAAGCTTTTATGTAATAATACACTAAAAGTAGAAAATAAATTATAGACTATTATTTAAATAACTGTAAAGAAAAGTGTTAGTCTCTTCCTAAATATTAGTAAAGGTATCCAGCAGATGCTATAGTGACCCACGCTTTTCTTTATAGTTATTTAAATCAGTAATTCTGAAAGACTTTTTTCTATTGGGGAGGGTCGGGAGGGAAATTGATATTTTCGGGGGGCGGTCAACATTTTTCGGGGGGGGGGGGGACACGAGTACATATATTTCTATATAAATTTCATTTTGTTCGGTGGGCGGTAGACTTTATTCGAAGGTCGGGGGGGGGGGGCATTGAAGAAATTCTGATTTAAATAGTAGTGTGTAATTTATTTTCTACTTTTTAGTGCATTATTACATAAAATCTTGTAATTAGAACGTTTTTTATTAATTATTGTTTCTTAAAAAAGTTTGTAACAAAACATATCTCCATTAATATTTAGATTTAGGCTTGGTTATAAATGGCTGGAGCAAAGCCTAACCTGTAACGGTTTGTATATATATATATATATATATATATATATATATATATATATATATATATATATATATATATATATATACACACAATATATAGTGTGTCGGGGGGAGAGGTTTTTTTTTACAGAGGCCCTAAAATATGCCCCTCCAGGGATCCATTAATTCACCCCTGTGTCTAACTACCCCATCTTTAGAATGTGATCATTTTTACGCTCAACACAAAAAAAGAAAAGCTCTGAAGTGTGTCATTAATTTTTTTTTTATAATAGAACCCCACTCTGTCAACAGATAACGATCAGCTTCTTCAGAAACTCAGCCTACTCCCGCCCCGATCAATGACAGGCCGTTTGTGGTCAACATCAATAGCTGGGTGTATGTGGGGGTCAAGGTGGTCACTAACGACCCCAGCAAGATAGGGTGCAGCTCTCCGTCTAGTCCTCACCAACTGCCAGGCGACCCCCACACAAAACAATGTGGTCATTCCGACTGAGAACATTATTAATGCAAAGTAAGTTCAAAGTTGTTTGTGCCACTAATATTAATGATCCCTTCACCGACCCATCAATTAAGCTCTATCTATCAACCTATTAATTCACGTTTTCAAACACCAACATACACCGGTCATCCAGTGACTAAACTGTCTACCTACCCATCCGTCAACCAACATACCACTTATCTAATCCCTTCATCTATTTAGCCATCCACCTAATTATCCATCCATTTATCCACCCATCCACCTTTTTATCCATTTATGTATCCACCCATCCACCTGTTTATCCATCCATCTATCCACCCAGCCACCTGTTTATCTATCCATCTATCCACCTGTTTATCCATCCATCTATCCAGCCATCCACCTGTTTATCCATCCATATATCCAGCCATCCGTGTGTATCTGTATACTTGCAGGTGCCCGAACTACGACCCATGAACGTGTCCGTGTACCCCATCAACAACACAATGGTGGGGTTCAGGTACAAAGCCTTCCAGATCCGCCTGGCTACTCGCAGGTCTACATTAGATGTGACGTCATCATCTGCTGTCCAGTGACACCAGTGCCAGGTGTGACAGGTCAGTATGACACTCTGAATGACAATTTTGTCACGACCTTGTCACGATTTCCAAACAAATTTGACACTTAATGGTGTCACCCTCCAGAGGCGTAGTGACCCTTCCCGGGAACAAACTTTCAATTTTTGATTTGCACCCCTCCTCAAACTTTCGATTTGCACCCCCCCCCCCCCTCAAACTTTCGATTTGCACCTCTTAAAAGACTATTTAACACTCGAATTAATCACTTAATTAAGTGGAATTATCATTTTTCTCTATATATTTTGCTATTTTTTGCCTTGGTGTCACCCCCTAAATTCACAAATTATAAATTACTGAAAAGTAGAAAATAAAACAACTAAATAGCGGCGGGTCGGCCCGTTATACATATAATAGATATTGTTAATCTAAAAAAAAAGCAATGTATATTCAGTGTTCCTACAAAATATATATATCTTCATTATCTATTCAAATCTAATTTGGCTAATCATGTGACCAGGTCATGCACCACCAACAAGCCGCTAACCGGACGCCGGAAGAGAGATGTGGATACAACAAATACCACGGATACAACAGACACGCTATCCGTCACCGCCCTGTCCCCGGCCATACAGATCTACAACGCTGAAACAGCTGGCGGCCATTGACGGGAACAATTCCCTGACCTTGACCCTAGACCTGGCTGGTGTCGCTAGCATACAAACTACTGACTTAGTTTTATGCACCATGTTTGTTATGTTAACTTTCTTATATACAAGCATGTAAGGCCACATAAGATAATTTACTTTGTTATGTTAACTTTCTTAACTACAAGCATGTAACACCACATAAGATAATTTACTTTGTTATGTTACTTTCTTATATACAAGCATGTAAGGCCACATAAAATAATTTACTTTGTTATGTTAACTTTCTTATATACAAGCATGTAAGGCCACATAAGATAATTTACTTTGTTATGTTAACTTCCTTAACTACAAGCATGTAAGGCCACATAAGATAATTTACTTTGTTATGTCAACTTTCTTATATACAAGCATGTAAGGCCATACAAGATAATTTACTTTATGTCAACTTTCTTATATACAAGTATGTAAGGCCACATAGATAATTTACTTTATGTCAACTTTTTATATACAAGTATGTAAGGCCACATATGATAATTTACTTTGTTATATTAACTTTCTTATATATGTAAGCCCTGCTAGGGGGGATACCTTAAATCTATCCTTCTAGGCTTATCTAACTAACTACTGTCCGGTCAGTGCAAGCCTGGATAAACCCAGACTGGTTAATAACCTAACCTTAGTCTAAATAATGAAAACAAAAAAAAGCTTTAACAATAATATAACATTTATTTAACAAAATAATAAATATGGAACCAAAAGTTATTATAAAAAAACCAGAATCTAGATCTAGACAAAACACTCAAGACATACAAAACAAACAGAACTCAACGAAACAAAACACCAATTTCGGACCACCGTCCATACACCATATAAATGTGTTACAGAAAACACTTAACACACAGGCCTCGACTTGGGATAATTTTTTTGTGTGGACAAGCTTGTAAAGCCATCTTTTTAATTTACTTTGTTAAATTTTCCAATTACTGTGTTTCAAGACAATTTTTTTTTTCAAACGTAGCTATTTAGAATTTTTAAAAAACTATTCTTTATATGTAGTTTTGTTAGCTGCAGTGTATGTTTTTGCTACTTGCTTTGTGTGTCATAACTAATTATTTTTCTAAAAAGTTTTTAATATTAAAATTATAAAATGAAACGTATGTAGGCCTACTGTCATCATTTAGACACATTTGCAAAGTTTCAAAAAGGCAGGTTTAGGAGAGTGGTGCAAATAGACTTGGATTTATGTTAAACAGGAAACAAAATAATTGCTGGTAGCACTAGAATGTCACCAACACATCCAGTCGATATCAGATGGGGGGGGGGGGGGGTCAGAGTTTCTTCCATACACCTCTTCGCCCCCCCCCCCTCCCGAACGATATGGAATTTATATTAAAAAAAATATATACTTTTAACAGTGTTCGCCCCCCCCCCCCCGAAATTTAAGTCCGCCCCCCCCCCCCCCCCCCCAAATAAAAAAACATTTCAAGTGCACCCCCGGAGAAAAAAGTCTGGAAGAAACGCTTATAGGGCCTACACCATCTATAGAACACAAGTACATTCGATCAATTTATGGAATTTACAAAGTGTACAAATTCATGTTTACTTAATGTAGATTGTTGAGACCAGATTTGTCGATGATATTTGATATGGCGAATATCAGTTAAGTGTATGTTTTTAGTATACTGCTACGCTTCGTTGATGGCATAGATGTCATAGCAGGCAGTGAAGGAGAGTTGGTGGAATTAGTAAACAGATTGGTCACAACATCAACAACATATGGCGAGGTTATCGTTCATGACCAACAGTCCAAACGGTGTTGTGGTAGATCTACAGGTAACTGTCCATAGTTGGGAGAGAGTTGACCGAATCAAGTAGCCTGTCTCCGTCCTATCAGATGAGGGAATGAAGGAACAAACGCCCAAACAACACCACATCGTAAGGCGATGGAGGAGAGGGGGGGGGGGAGGGTGCGGACTGCACCAAGAGACACCATTTCGGAGATGAGGGGGGGGGGGGGGGCGACAGCAAAACAAAAAATGTTCAAAATATATTGAAGAAATAGGATTTTTACCCGATCAAAAGTGTTTTAAGTACGCGTTGCCTTTTCTACTTGAATTCATGAGTTGATTAAAATAATGTGTGCACAGATTGACGCCACTTGGCGAAATGGGAGGGGGACACACTAATGGAAACTATATATATATATATATATATATATATATATATATATATATATATATATATATATATATATATATATATATATAGTACTTTCTTTCCTATAGTGGGGGGGGTGATGCAATGAGGTGCCGCACCTGGTGACACCCGACCTAGCGACGCCACTGTCACAAAGTAAGTTAAGTAGAACTTTGGATGACAAACACAAACTCTTGTAACAAAATGTTAAACTCATGCGGTCATTGGTCATGTCTGTCTACATGTATGGAAGCGAGGCATGGACCCCCAAAGCAAACCTCTAGAACAGAATTCAGGCCCTTGAAACAGGTGGCTACGCAGACTCCATGAGATCTCATACAGAGATCACATAACAAATGAAAAAGTACGAATAGGATAACTAATACGATTGGTCCTTTTGAAAATGCAATGGAATTGAGATGGTATAGACATGTTGCAAGAACCTATAGCCTATCCAAAACCATAATGCTAGGCACGGTGCCGGGGGGGGGGAGTAAACGGGGAAGACAAAGACGTTATTGGGTGGATGACATGAAAGATTGGACTGAGCCGCTTGTTGTAGAACTAGACAGAGCAGCACATTGCAGAGACAAATGCTGGAAAATTATAAGAAAATCAACTGCCCAACGACCCCATGGGCTATAGAAAGATGGATTGATTAGTAGTATATAGGCTTGTGGCTTGTAGATGTTTGATTTGTGAGTTGCAGGTTTGTGGCGTGTAGATGTTTGATTTGTGAGTTGCAGGTTTGTGCTTTGTGGTGTGTAGGCGTGTGGTGTTAAGGTAAGCGATGTGTGTGTTTTTAATTTCTCTCCATTGAGTGTCTTCTATACAAAGCATTGTCAATGCTTGCATTTTAAATAACAGAGCTAACTCAGTGACAGAAATTTGGCAAGCCTTAACGTAGTACTTATCTCAAGAATGGTAACCTGTTGTAAAAGTTTGTCGTAAAGAATAAATGCGGTTGTCTGTAATGCTTAAAGGGTACATAACCCGGCGCTTGCTTACTATAAGTTCTATGTAAGTAATATAAAAGTTCCCAATGTTGTTATGGTATGATACTGTTAATAATATATCAGGAAGAGTTAACGGTAGCAATTAAGTCCCCTTTTGTTTGACGAGCTCATAACGTCACCGCGCATGACGTCATTGCATTTTGTTAAATAGATAACTGGACAAGTAGAGTATACTATTTATGTCAGCAAACACAACGTGTAAATATAGAGGGAAGTATTCTTTATGCACATGTAACAGTGAAGCGAACAGTGTTTATTCCAGACTATTTTCTCCGGGGGGGGGGGGGCACTTGAGATTTTCGGGGAGGGGGGGGGGGGGCGACTAAAATTTTCGGGGGGAAGGGGGAGGAGCGGACACTGTTAAAAGTATACATATATTATCTATATAAATTCTATTTCGTTCGGAGGCGAGCAGTAGACTTTCCCCCGGAGCCCCCCCCCCCCCCCCCCCCCCCCCCCCCCCCCCCGAAGAGATGCCCGGAAGAAACTCTGGAAGCGAAGGCATAGAACAGTAAAGTACGTGAGTGAAACGTAGAGATTTTCTTTTCCTAATATATAAATTCATGTGCGCACTTCTGTCTCTCTGTCAGCAAAATATTATATTTTCACGGGATATGAGAAAAATATCTTCAGCGATATATGGAGAACTTGATACAGACTTTTTTTGAAAATAATATGTTAGATGTTTTAGATGTATACACAATTTTATTTAAAGAAGAAAGATAAAAATAATGAAACCTTTAGCTATCACTTTAGAATCAGCATATGCTTAACTAATATCTTTTCAGTTCTGTTTGTTCATTGTCATTTTCATTTATTCAAAGATTTTTAGTAAATGGATTAGCCACCGAATATGCTACAATCAAAAGTCAATCAAAAATTTCTGTACTGAACATTTTTTAAGTCTACATCCAACCCATTCCATATAACCAGTAGAGTGGTCGATTTGTCTTATTTGAGCGAAGAGATCACATGGTATGTTAAGTTGAGACAGCTGGAGAGAGAAAAAACAGCGGAGTAAGAGATCAAAATATGTACTCACCACTGTCCGTTGTCCCTCTTGTCCATCCAGTTCTTTTGGCCTGTTTTGAACTTGATTTAAACGTGTACACTGGGTGTTTTTTTCGGGCAACATTCAACTGTTATCACAATAACAATGAATAGAACATTTCCAAAAGTATTGTCTAATATTTTTCATTTGTTGACATAAATGGAAACTAAAACATGAAGTCTTAGATCTCAGACAAAAGTTTTCGCAGGGAACAATCATTAGCAGACGACTGTGCGGCCAGCGAACATTTTGGGTGTCTAGACATGTCCCCACATATCCCAAACGATTGACTGCAGGCGGCTGTAAATTTTTCTTCGACGGGATCGATATAATTTTGTCGATCAGAACTTGTCGCTGGTCTACTGGCTCTAGGGGTAGGGGTATAAGGGTGGGGGGGGGGGGGGTAGGGCTGCACTGGTGGGGGGAGGTAGGGCTGTACTGGGGGGTTGGGCTGAACTGAGGGGTAGGGCTGTGCTGGTGGGGGTAGGGCTGTACTGTTGGGGGGTAGGGCTATGCTGTTGGGGGGTAGGGCTGTACTGTTGGGGGGTAGGGCTGTGCTGTTGGGGGGTAGGGCTGTACAGTTGGGGGGTAGGGCTGTGCTGTTGGGGGGTAGGGCTGTGCTGAAGGGGGGTAGGGCTGTACTGTTGGGGGGTAGGGCTGTACTGGTAGGGGGTAGGGCTGTACTGTTGGGGGGTAGGGCTGTGCTGAAGGGGGGTAGGGCTGTACTGGTGGGGGGTAGGGCTGTACTGGTAGGGGGTAGGGCTGTACTGGTAGGGGGTAGGGCTGTACTGTTGGGGGGTAGGGCTGTGCTGAAGGGGGGTAGGGCTGTACTGGTGGGTTGGGCTGTACTGTAAAGGGGGGGTGGGGCTTTATTGGTGGAGGTAGGGCTGTACTTGTAGGGGAGGGCTGTGTTGGTGGGGGTAGGGCTGTACTTGTAGGGGAGGGCTGTGTTGGTGGGGGTAGGGCTGTGCTGGGGGGGGGGTAGGGCTGTACTGGTAGGGGATATGGCCGCACTGGTTGGAGTAAACATGTATCTGGTGTATTGGCTGTAGGGGTAGGGCTAGAGATTAACGATCTTGACTAAGTGGGCTAGAGATTAACGCTCTTGTCTTAGTGGGTTAGAGATTAACGGTCTTGTCTAAGTGGGCTAGAGATTAACGGTCTTTTCTAGTGGGCTAGAGATTAACTGTCTTTTCTAGTGGGCTAGAGATTAACTGTCTTTTCTAGTGGGCTAGAGATTAACGTTTTTGTCTAAGTGGGCTAGAGATTAACTGTCTTTCCTAGTGGGCTAGAGATTAACGGTCTTGTCTAAGTGGGCTAGAGATTAACGGTCTTATCTAGTGGGCTAGAGATTAACGGTCTTTTCTAGTGGGCTAGAGATTAACTGTCTTTTCTAGTGGGCTAGAGATTAACGGTCTTTTCTAGTGGGCTAGAGATTAACTGTCTTGTCTAGTGGGCTAGAGATTAACGGTCTTATCTAGTGGGCTAGAGATTAACGGTCTTTTCTAGTGGGCTAGAGATTAACTGTCTTGTCTAGTGGGCTAGATATTAACTGTCTTTTCTAGTGGGCTAGAGATTAACGGTCTTTTCTA